CGGGAGTGGTGTATTGCGGAAATTGCTCCCGCCCATTCGATCACAACACTGCCTTCAGTCTACATACGCGCCGGCATCTACGATGCGAAGACGCAACGCCACGGCGTGCGCCAAGATCGCCGTTCCATGCTCCATCCCAAACAAGGCATGCAAATCGCGGAGGTACCGTCGAGCCTGGTACTAATGGCCAGAGTCAAAGCCGTCCTACTACATCTCCTCCACACGCAAGTCTGCTGAACCCTACGATTGACCGTGCTGAAGCCGCTGTTATCGCCGATAGACTCGCAAATGATTTTGACACCTGCAGGGAGGTGTATACGTTTGTCAAGTCCTTCAGGAACGGTGCGGGAATGACGCCGATGAAACTAAGGCCTTCTTCAAGCTAATAAACCATCTGCAGTTCAAGGCATCGGAGGTCGCTGACTGGAAGGGCACTCGGGATGTGGATAAGTTCGCAGAGAGAGTATTGGGGCGCCATCATGTGACCTGGAAGAAAACGATGGTGCATGTGGAAGGGATGGCAGAGCCTGTGGAGTTCGTGTATTGCGACACACTCGAAGTACGTGTGTTATGTGCGAATCTCCCGCTGCATCTCGTTTTGTGTGGAGAGTTCCTAGTCGAGCATAGCTGATTGACAAGCCATGTTTAGCTGCGCAGGTTCTTCGCACTATTTTTGAGGATCCAAAGAACGCGACCAACTTCCAGCTGCGACCAAACCCAAGTTAAAAACAGGACGCTGCTGGGAAGCGAATCTACTCGCGGCCTGAAACAGGACGCTGGTGGTCACGGATTGCTTGGCATCTGCTCTCAAGAGGCTCACTGCATTCATGCACGCCATTACAACAAAAGCTGGCTAATAAGGAGGGTGTAGTCGCAACCCTTATCACCAGCAGCGACGTCACCCACCTGAGTCACAACGGACGGCAGAAAGTTTGGCCGTTGCAAATCTCCATTGCCAACATACCACGTGAGCATCGCTGGAAAGATCACGCTCGGCAGCTGGTAGCATTGTTACCACTGCCTAACGTGGATCTCTCCCCCGTGGTGAAGACACGGTTGTTCAACAATGCAACAAGATTGTGTTTGACCCCTTGATCAACGCCTCATACCCGTAAGAATAGCGTTTCCACATGCAGCTAAAGCAGGTGGTAACAGTTAATTCCGCGATGTGCCTAATCGGGTTGAAACCCACTGACAACCATCGTTCCATATGCAATCCAGGGGAGCCCCAATAAAGGATCCACATGGCGTAAGCCGCGTTGTGTACCTGCTTCTATATGCCTATGTGTGTGATTTCCCTGAGGGTTCCAAGGTGACAGGCACGATGCAACATCGGGCACCCATGCCATGCTCAATTTGTAAGGTACCAAAAGAGTACCTTGACGCCATGGACTGCTTGTTTGAGATGCGTACGCCAGATGGGCAGCGACAAGCATTGGACAACAAGAAGGGGTGCAGGGCCCTCGGGACCCACAGGGTGGAGGTGCGTATGCTTGCTTGATAACATGTGGTGATAGTTTGCCAAGCGGATGCTTGGTCCCTGACACAGGTACCTCGTATGTTTAGTGTTTTTTATGGAAGTGGAACTTCGCGTGGACCACTTGGGGAAACCCGTATGGGTGTATTCTGCCGGATGTGTTACATGTGGTAGACATATGAGTGTGGAAACACGTACTGGATCAGATACGGGAGACAAGTTCTCCAGGCATTCTGGCCGTAATGGACTGGTGGATATCCACGTGATGTGCAGCATGTTTGTCTTCCCCTAACTACCATCTGATTGTTGCATGTCATGCGTTCTGACAGCCGGCATGAAAGACTGTACCGCCTGGCATGGGCCGCCGGCATCAAACTGCCTAAACCGGGCAAATACTTCTGTGGCGGCGCCAACTACGCAGCTGCTGAGCACCGTGCAATGATGCAGGCGTCTGTCTTCATTTACGATGGTGTTCTCACTTCGGCGCAGCTGGAAGTGATAATGAGCTTCCTAAAGTGGTATTTGGCATGTCTCTAGGTGCCCGAGCACACCAAGGCTACCATCAAAGAAGTCATCCGATAGCAACCAAAGTGAGGGGTTCACTGCTATCCTTGTGACTCCTACGCCCCTTGACGTGTGGTATGGTCCTTATGTTCATGTCGTGTGCATGTGTCAGTATGATGTCACTTTTGAAACGCGAATTCTCCATGCAAGCTTCGAGCTGGAAGCTTGTGAAAGTTCATGCTCTCACTCATTTGCCATATGCCATTGAAACCTTTTTGAGCACAGCCATGTGGGGCTTGTCAAGCGTCCATACCGGTCATCAAACCGACGCCAGATTGCATGTGCTATCATCAGCGCAGATGATATCCACTGGGCAATGCGATCCCTCCCCACAAGGATGCAGTGCAGCTGCAACTACACGAGTCCCATGGCTCAGGTAGAAG